TAAAAGTTTTTTTTATTTTTCTTCTTCTCACTAAAACGTCAACAAAAAAAACAAAAAAACTAGATAGGTTAGCTAATTACCTTAAAAGTCCAAAGATATCGCTGTCAGTTCATACTGCTATTAACACTTCCACCGACAAGCGGATGCAATGAGATGTGTTTGTTCATGTGATGTTCGGCATAAAACCTATATGATTTTATGGCGATTAATGATTGTGTGCAAACATTGGAAAGAGATCCTACTCACCGGCACTCTATGAACCACTGTCTGATCTGATCTTTCATGGTCTCCTTCATTTCTGGGCCTTCCACTTCCCTGAGCTGATAGATAACAGATTCGATGGACTTCTGATAGTCATCCTCATGTTCTTCTTGCGTGATGTGCCAGTTGGCCTTGTTGTTCTGGGCAGTCAGCTCGTTTTGGGATGGATAGGATAGATTTGGATCCATGGCCTGAAGATTACACAGCCATAGAATCACATGAAACAGTATTAGAGTTCCATCTACTGGTGGCATACAGTACTCAACATGTAGTCAAGCTGTAGAATCACAATGAAACTTTATTTATGAATATCAATACAAAGCACATACCTTTGTTAATGTGCTTTGCATTTTACACACAACTATTAAAAAACATGGGGTCGATAAGATTTAAAAAAAAATAAATGATTACTTTTATTCAGTAAGGACACATTGAATTAATCAAAAGTGACCATATAAAACTTTTAAATTGTTACAAAAAAATCTATTTCAAATAAATGCTGTTCTATTCATCTATTCATGAAAAAATTACATCACGGTTTCCACAAAATGATAATGTCATCATGTACTTAAACTCAAGTTGTACAAAACCTGTATGAATTTCTATGCTCTGTTGAACAAAAAATATATATATATTGAAGAATGTCCATGCCCATTGACTTCCATAGTATTTTTTTTCCCTTAATATAGAAATCAAGGGGGTCCATCAACTGTTTGGTTACCCACATTCTTCAAAATATCTTCTTTTGTGTTCAGAAGAAGAACGAAACTCATGCCGGTTTGGAAAAACTTGAGGGCGAGTAAATAGAAATAATTTTCATTTTTGGGTGAACTATGCCTTTAAGCAACACAGCTTTTTTCAACATTGTTAATAAATTATTGTTAATTATTAATAATAATAAGTTATTTTTGAGCACTAAGTCAGCATATTAGAACGATTTCTTAAGGATCAGAAGAAACTGCTTGCAAGAATAAATTACATTCTAAAAAATATTAAAATAGATAACAGTTTTAAATTGTAGATATATTTTCACAATATTACTCTTTTTACTGTATTTCTGATCCAATAAATATAGCCTAGGTGAGCATAAGAGACTTCTTTCAAAAATATTTAAAAATCTAATCGACTCCAAATATCGAACAGTAAGATACACAATATCTTACCATTCCAAGAAATATCATTTCCTCTTCACGCCGCCTTTTTGTCATTTTCCTTTGCATGAAGCCTCTCCACACCTAAATAGAGTTTTTAACTTATGTACTGCATTTCTAATAGTTATATATTAACTAAAAAAACTATTTTGTGTTGACACAATATTCTACCTTCTGGATACAAACTGCAGCCTGGTCAGTGCTTACTGACCCTTGTTCGTCAGCTTTCTTCTGTCTCTCAGAGTCTTTATGGATCTCCCTCATGAATTTTGCCCTCAGTCGGCCTTGCCGTGCTCTTTCAGCCACTTGGATGACTTTAATGGCCCTCTCCAGAGTCAACATACGCATTACATTACCCTGGGAGAGGCAAGAGAAGTCATGTTAGAGAAATGAAACAATCCAGTTATTTTCGTTAATGATGAAACAAGCAATTTAACTTACTACTGTCTTTTCTCTAACATCCATTTGGTTTAATGTAGCAGCAAACAATCTTTCTCTGTCCTGCAGCACTTTGTTTCGCTCGTGAATGAAATACCTGGGAATTGGAATCTCAAGGTCCTCCTTTGACAAATGTGAGATTGAAATGATGATTTATCCATTAAATACACTTCTAAAGTTGTTTATAGCATAAGTTACACACTAGTCAAACTCACAGGGGTTAATTTCAGGTCTTGAATGATGTCATCCATATAGTGGTACTCTGAAAATTCCTTTTCCACCATTTCGTTCTTGAGCTCCAGAACACGACCCATCACACCCTCCAGCACCAGCCTAATCGCACGCCTCTTTTGGGGGTGAACACTTTGGTCATAGGCCTCGTCTAGCTTCCTAAAGATCTGAGTATAGCGGACGTACAAGGTGGCAATCCTTTGGAAGAACACCACTCTGTCTCTCTCAGGGCGGAGAGGTTCGTCTGGGAGTTCTTGGTCCAGCAAACAGCTGAGCTCCTCATGAGCTTCAGACCAGAGTTTATTGTGTGTGCTGCTGGAGGTAAACTGTGTCTTACTCATTGGATTGTTGTGAACAAGGTAATAAGGTATTAAATCATTTAATAAAATTAAACATAATCTTAAACTTAGATAAAACAACATAATATTTATGATTAAAAATATTAAGAATTACTGACAGATACTTTCCAAAATATAGTGCTAAATTCATAGCAAGACTGGGATAATTTCATTTTTTGAGACAATATTTCCCTGAAATCACATTTGAAAGCACGTTTAGCCTACTATGACTTTAGCCAACAAACCTGTGCGACATCGTCTGATAAAACTCGCTAACGTTAAACGGTTCCTTCGAAACGCAAGATGTTTATGTCTGTCTGTAGCAAGTTAAAACGTCATTTTTTAAAATTAAAGATGACGTTAACAGCTAGAACAACACTTCCGAAAACAAGTAAAGTGAAACTTGAAATAGACACATTTCTACAGCAGACATTCGTGTGCACGTCTAACTTAGCTGATTGTCAACTTCTCAAGTTGTTGTCAACTTGTTTCTACGGTAACGCTTAAGCAGAACGGAAGAAGATCAAATGTCCAACGAGTATGAATTACCTCAACGTTTTACTCATGGTTTTGTTTAACCAACAGGCATCATTCCTGTACACATGATGATGTTGGCATTTACATAAAATTAGAAATAAACAAATAAATATGATCAGATAAAATATAATTTGTATAGTTTGTTGTATTCATATTTATTCCATTCCCTTTAATATAATATAATATAATATAATCGTGCAAATCTATAATTTATTACCGTCGTTGACGAGAAATTATAACGAGACGAAACACGACCTTACAAAAATAATAATAATAATAATAATAATAATAATAATTAAACACCTACGAATGGCTTGTGTGCAGGCAGGTTGGAAAATTCGTCGATTTAAATCACTATTTAATATATAGCCTACAGAGTTAAATTCAATTATCATCTTTATTACGAAAGATAAAATGCTTTAAGCAAAACTATTTAAAGCTTTTGAGGCGATAGGTGTAGTTTAAGAACACACCGATTGATGGCGCCAAACACAATTTTTTACAGCCGTCGAGGAGAGTTCGCGAGGCATTAATACCCTTAAAAAATACTAATAATAATAATAATAATAATAATTATATATATATATAATTATTATTATATATATAATATATATATAATATATAATATATATATATATATATATATATATATATAGTTAAATTCAAGAATCATCTTTATTACAAAAAAATAAAAAGCTATTTACTTGATGCTTTAATTTAAGGCCTACATGTAGTTTAAGAACACACCATTTGATGGCGCCAAACACAATTTTTATAGTCTGCGACCAATTATTTTTTATAGTCGGCGAGGAGAGTTCATGACTCATGAGGCAGAAGGCATAATATTATCTGGGGCGTAGCAGACCCAACCTTTAGATAACGGTGATTCTTCACTTTTTTTAAACACATTCCACGTGTTCTCTGGTATTAGTTACTTTAACATTCAGCCAATTACAAGTGTGTCATCATGAGGTGAACCATCTCACATGCGCGTCTGCTGCTGATTCAAATTTTCCGCCAGTAGGCTAATCTGATGTTATGTTATCACTCAGTGATGATCTTTGTATTCGTTCTTATTCATGGCCTTTTTTATCTGACAGGTTGGGTACAGGTTAAACACACTGCATAAAAACATTGGACAATCCTTCTTTCCAACACAGTGTATGTAAGTATGTATTTAGTGTAGCCTATAAGAACGATCCAATGGTGGTGGTAAGTACCGCATTCCAATAATCATGTTTTTGGTATTAGGTTAAAGGGTAGGCTATCATGGCACTGATTACGTGTTCCACTTTAATCTGTAGCCTAAAGTTACTTTAAACGTAAAGCATATAGCTTAAAATGTAGGCTACTCGTGCAAAAGTGACTTCTGTCACTTCTCTAAAAGTTCCTAATGTCAGCATGAAGCCATCTTGATGACAAGAGAGGAAAATGCCATTTCCTTCAAATTCTCATATGAGGAGCAGGTTCAGTGACATCCCTGTAAGAGCAGCAAGAGCTGTGTGAAATTGTGCCTTTTGACTTCGTAGGAATAAATCAAACCGAGAAGGTGTTTTCAACTTTCCCCTGGATAGATCATTAATGGCACCAATTCTAATTTTAAAGGCTATATTACAACAGCTTCTTAGTGTCTATTTGTTTGGTTGTTGTTTTTTGTAAACACTTACATTTGATTTATGTTTATGTGCATTGTATGCATTGCCTTCTCTTTTATGTAAATGAGAAGTGAGTCAACATTTAAGAAATTAAATTCTATCTCTTATTATTTATACATTTTGCAATTAATATAAGCCAAGCTTAATTTAGCAGTTCATTCCCCCGAAAATGTTATACCATGACACACCATTACCAACACACACTGTATCAAACTTGAAGGGTGGCCAGATTTCCAGGACATGACCCCTGCAGGACCTTCCCCCATGAGGATGGGGGGCTGGCTACAGAGAAATATTAAGAAGCTTAAAGAAATAACCAAGGTTCGACTGAGGCATGGGAACAGATTGAGACAATGTGATAATTCATAAAATATTCTGGCTGCATGCTAAATATCATTGCAATTAGACTATTGATTGCGTTTACTTGTAGAGATACACAAGTTAAAAACCCTAGAATGTATGCGTTAAGCGTGTAACCAGCACAAAGCCAAGTGCAAACTAAAGTGTTGGGAGGTGGAAACAAGCAGGGCTTACCAGGATAGCGCGCTTAGTGCAGTCACAAGACCCGGCCATCCATGAACAAAAACATCCAGGCGTTAATTTCAGAGCTCAGCTACATTTAAGCGAGTATATTTGGATATATGGATACTTGAAGTTCCCCATCATTTCCCTGGGGGACGTGGCGCGATGGATATCTCCGACATTTACGCGTCCAGCTCTCTGCCAGCTATGATTCTTTTAATAAACCTCAGAGAGGAGTTTTGAGACACTTTTTATAGTTATCTGAACTTCTGTGATGAATTTAAAACTAAAGGAGGGGCGAATGTCAGAGGAACTGACCACGAGTTGAGGAAAAAAAAAAACCCTAAGAGAAAGATGTCTACATTTGCCACCCACCCGAAATCGATTGTATTACATTCAAGAAGCTTCGCACTTGACGTATAAAAACAAGACGCATGTTCTCAAGAAAGACACGAGACAGCAGGAACTGTTGGAGGATATATTTTTCTCTGACAACTTTGCGTCCGCATCATTAGAGGTACAAGCACCTACCAATAGGCTATAATCGCGTAAGTTGCTATTTATTTTGCTTATGTGAGTGCAAACTGTATGATTATAGTAAAGTGAATTGAATTGTTTCTCTGATTTCAAAGTTTAAACATGCTATACAGTGCAAAATAGTTCAATTTCATGTACATTTAGTCGGCGTTTTATTTAAAAAAAAAACTTATGGGAGTTTTATTGAATTATCGAGGCTTTATTTACAGTAGCCTAAGTAGTGTTGCAGGTCGTGATTAATAGTTCGGACTCGAATCTACTGCGTAAACGCAGGACCACTGCGCCACTGCTTTGCCGTCTGAATGCGTGTTTTACGCACGTAAATTATAACTTTTGGGACGAGGATATAATGACAATGTTCGCTTGTTTTGTTCGTTTATCAGGCTGGAAAGCCATGCGGGCTGAGAAGAGATGGCACATATTGTTGAGTATGATTCTTTTGCTCATCACCTCCAGCCAGTGCATGGACAGCAAGGAGGTAAAGGAGACGGAAAGGAAAACTCTTCTTAATCTAATCCTGCAAGTGATCAGGGACAAGCCCGCGTCCAGACGCATCACCAGTGGCCTCTACTCTGTCTCTCAAGATGTTAAGTTTTCCTCACGTGAAAAGACTGCACATTTGTCCAAGCTGGACAACAGCAGACCAATAGGTAAGCTGATTTGAGATCCGGTGATGATACAAATGTAATCCTGGGCATTAACTACTACTTCCTGTTAGTGTGAGTTTTTGCCTGCATATCAACTGCACTTTTAATGCTTTAATCGCATAATGCATGGACAGCTGTTCATTTTCATAACTATCTTGTCTTACATTGCAGTGACAGAAACATATAACCTGTGGGGTCATTGTGAAAAAATTCAGTTAAAATGATATGAAATTGGATTAAGGGACACTCTTTTGATCTGCAGAGGGTAAAACATGAATGTTCATGGTCTTATTAGACAGATCACATAATGCTCAAATCATCGGTGAAGATCTAAGGACTATTCAAAGACAAGTGTAAAAGCTTGAGAAATCATGTGTGCCATTAGAAAACTGCGCTGATGACCTGCATTTTGTGGATAAAAACCTGATTTTAGCCACGTAAGACTATTTTGTCTGCCTAAATTTTGCCTCATGCAGTTATATATATTTATGACTTAATTTGATACCTTTGAAATCTTTCATTGAACCCAATTAAAATGACTTAAATTGTATGTAATGGAAGCTGTCCATGCTGGAATAATAATACTCAATTGCCAAAAGAGTGTTACCATTTGTGCTGTGAAGCCTGGACTAAATATCATGATCATTTCATAGATCATTATATTTACAGCAACTGAATGTTCCATGTCATGACGTTATAGTAGCTGACCAGTTTTGTGATGTGTTTAGAGCCATTTTAGCATTTCTGACACCCTTGAGAATTGATAATTATACTCAAATAGATTATCTTGTTTCTGTATTGTGCTATTATGTAGTTTCTTCACTTACTTAACTCTTAGTTTGACTATAAAACAAAATGTCATTTTTACAGTGACAGTTTTCTGGTTGGGTTGATTCAGAGTTGTCTATTTAAATGTCTTAGTCATAAAAAATTAAAAATGATTGACGTGCGTTGTTACACAAAAGTCGTGTCCCAAAGAAACAATTACACCCATAAACATCTGCTATTGCTGATCTGATGAACTTTGATTGAGTTTACTGCCTTTAAAGTTTTTCAATGAGACTGATTTTAATCCAGTGAAAACACGCTAGATTTAAATTGTGCGTTGATGCTGATATCATGGGACTTTTGTATAATCCAAACTGCACCGTAGCCTTCTGAATAGAACAGCCCATCAGCATAGTTAGTCATCTTAAGACTCAGGTGCGACAACATGCGTATGGACCCGTAATTATATTAATAGGTGTTTGATAATGCATCATCGCCATGATTGTCTTATTAAAAATGGGAAAAGCATGACCCTCAGCCCACAAAAGAAGAATCTGTAGGCGTCATAAATGTAGAAAACTTCTGTATTTTGAATGAACTCATTCATAATGCAGTCTTGGTTATCCTATGTTCTGAGACAGGTTAAAATTAGCTGCTGCATGGATTTGTGGACCTGACACTGATAGGCATTACAATTTTGCATGCAATAATCTCCTTACTCCAATAGGCTGGAAGTGGTAGACTACACGTGGGGACAAGTATCCCAGGGTCGGGCGGACCACAGATTGTACATAATTAGAAAGGACCCCAAGCCTCAAGCTGATTTACTGAGTGCTGGATTATCAATCTGGGATTTATTGTATATTTTGAATGGGACAGTCCATCTTTATTATATCAAGCATGTAGTGACCACAGACAAACAAATGACGTATATGACTGTAATCAGTTATATCATCATCTTAAGAGGGGAAAGTTTCCAAAAGGTTGTTGCACATTTGTACACTACAAGCTTTTAGGAGTTTGAGATATGACAGATTATATTAATAGTATTTACAAGACTTTTTGTAAATTAAATTAAAGTTTTCAGTTTTGCAAACGTTTTGGGGAGGTCATTAATAAGACAAATGGTTCATAAGAATGTCTTTATTAAATTCACTAATAATTGATGTCAGTGTGATATCTCTTTGCTTAGCTAAGGTAACAGTCTTGTACAATGACTTCAAGCCATGTGCTAGAGATTGTATTCAGTTACTGAGCTGGACGCAAGTTGATGACATAATCATTCCCAGACTAAATACACTGAATCACATCTGTTAATACAACAGCAGTGTTTTTATAGCCTTTATATCAGCAATTTATGTTAGTTGGCAGAGACTTTGAGTTGTTTAACTCATTTAACACTTACCCAAAGGGATACTTAAGTATTTTCCAAGCTAGGACATGGAACATTTACATTTTGCTTTGTTAAACCTATAAAACAGGCTTTAAAATTACAACTGTAAAGTTAAAATATATATATTAAATTAATGAAACAACTAATTACAGGATTTCTTTTAAAAAAAAGAAATAGGTAAAGTTTCATTTGGAGGAGACAAATTGTTGTGGAGGATTTCTCCATGTACAGTGGCAAATTTTACTCTAACTACTTCACAAAAATACAGTGCTTTTTCTTATTTTCATGCATAAAATGTCTCCAAATCAAGCTACATGCAATAACAGCTTCTATGTTTCTCAAACTGCTTCGGTTTAACCCGAAGTATCAATTGCTTAATTCAGTTCGGTTCAAAATGGTCAAATTGCTAAATAATATCTAGCATTTTATGAGTTTAAAGAACTGGGGTGAAACACTAACACTGTCTTTTTGTCTATCGGTTTGTTTCAGATATTGTCCCAAGAGACATCAGCATGAAAGACAAATTTATAGAACATTTTACAGGTAAACAAAAACCCATTTCAATATATTTCATCTTTTTTAGTACAAAATATTTCATGCAGTCCCGTTGATGAGGTTGAAATGTGTGAGCTCTGTTCAGAATAGCATACTTATATAATACTCTTAGCGTTTCTGCAGTGTATATAGTACGGTGCATGCACAGTATGTGGATTTACCTTGTCATATGACCCGCTACCTTGGCCACATGTTTACTTACTTTGTGAAATATTGTATCCCACAATGCAGTGCACTAAAACCAATCTCTTTCTTGACTCATCATTTGAACGGACAGTCAAAAGTTTAGGCTATTTTAACAAAATTGGATTGCAAAAATGTCCACGATAATAACTAATTGTTGACTTGCATGCAACTTGACACATTGACAAATGTAGCTGGGTCATGTGACAACAATGTAGCGTACTACTGTTTAAAATGATAATGGTGTAATAATGCTAAAATGCCACTTGCCATTTTATTTTCACCTCTTTCTTTATTCTCATTATAGGCCTGTTTTTAAATGTCTCATTAAGAATGCAGTTTTCCTTATAAAACATAAAGCCAGTCAAATAAGTTACGCCTGCAGTAGGTTAACTGAGGTAAATAGTTTCTACAGCCTCTGGGTTGTGAAATACATTTCATTCTCCTGCCAATTTTTTTTTTTTCAGAAAAAAGCACATTTAAGATGATTATTCATTGCAGAATCTTTGTTATTATTCATCTACAATCAGTGTTAAAATCTGTTATCCGGAAGCTTATACAATGAAACTTTGTAACGGCTTTGCCAGAATCAGAATCACTAAGTCTCTGCCCTTATGATGGCATGTCAAGTGTTAGCATGAACTAATTCTCCTTCTGGGTTCTGTGCAAAAAAGTGACCCACTTAAAGAACCTTTACTTTGCCCACCCTCTTTGTTAGGATTTCGTGAGATTAGGCGTAATGCTTGAGTAGACATTAAGTAGTAGAAGAAATTAAAAGCCGAACGATTTCGTTCACCAGAATATCTAATCCACAAAAACCTATGATGATTGAAATCTTTTTTTTTCCAAGCAGGACCAGTCAAGTTTCCATCTGAATGCAGGACACATTTCCATAGAATTTATCACAACACCAGGGATTGTTCCAGACCGACATGTACGTATATCTTTAATATTAAAAAATGTCATCATTTACGCTCATGCCATTTTAAACCTGGATGATTACTGCTAAAGAACACACACAAAAATATTTCTTTGTCCATAGTAAATGGGGTCCAATGTTGTTTGGACCCCAACACCATTCTTCAAAATGTTGTATTCTGCAGAAGAAAGAAATGCATACAGGTTTGGAATGATATGAGCACGAGTAAATGATAACAGAATCTTCATTTTGGGTTAAATACATGACATGTTTCCATGAACTTTATGAATTATGTTGTATTATGCTGTATACAATGTAAAAGTAGTAAATAAAAGAAAGATAATTGGAGTAAGTTTTTCTATTTAAAAATGTCATGTTTAATTCATTGTTACTTGCAGTTTGAATATTTTCTACAGCAAATTCTTTTCATTGTATATGTATGAGCTTGTGTTTCATAGAGACTATAGAAATGCTGCCTATGTTTGTATTTCTCTTAAGTAAAACGAAATGTTTTGACAGGGCGTTACACCGCAACGAAAATGCTCCTCCACCCTTAGTCCTCATGGACTTAGAGGCGTTCAGGAGAGATTTAGATTTTTCCAATAAATAACGCTTATCTAATGGTCCATCCATCGTGTTACTCTGTATAGAGAGCAGAAATGTCAAAACTAATCAAATCTCTCATTCTTTAACTCAACTAAATTTTATATTTCACAAAAAAGAGACAAACTAGTTGCTCAAAGTGATGATCAAATTGCCTTATTTCCCCTAGACATTGGTTGTTTAAGTGGTTTTTTTTGTTTTTGTTTTTTTAAATTGTTTTAAGTAAAAACATGCGTTAGAGGCCAGAGATGTTTTGTGAACTTGCTCCATGACCCTCCTCTGTGTTTCTCCATAGAGAAAGAAGGGTTGTGAAATTCAGCCTTAGATATTGTGGATATTTCTTTTCTACAAAAGGATCTATGAATTATTGCAAGTAGTAAAGAAAGTGCAGCATATTTATAACAATGAGATGTTGTTTGGTACGAGAGCACTTGGCAACCATGAGGAACACTGGGAATGGCAAAAAGCATACGGTAATAATTCACAGCGAAATCAGAGATTCTGCCTTCAAAAACAATTTTTATGACTTAAATGCTTCCTAAACTGTAGTAAACTTGAAATAGTATTCACAAGTTCATATAATAAAACATCATCAAGTATTCATGTACGGTAACAATAAATCTAAAGCCATTAATGCCATATACTTTTAACATACTTATAGTGTTTGAGTTCTGTTTTGAAATGTCACTTTTAAAGAAGGAGGGAAACGTGGCTGTACCTTGAGAGAAAATGACGGCAACCGTGTTTGGAACAGGACAGCAATGGGATGTTCAGACTTCACAAACACCATTAAGGATGGAAGCATGTGGTGCTTGAACCCACACAGTCATTTTAGGCCATCAAGTACATTACTGGGGCAGAGATGAAGCTATTTACAGGGATCCATCTAACCCTTAGCCATGTTCATATACTATATACGTCATCCCGTGATGGTATGAGAGCCCCACTTAAAATTGAATTTCATCAGTGCGTTTAAAGTGGTGACGTTTGCTTCATGTCACAGCACAAGCCAGAGTGTCACTAGTTCCATCCACCTATTTTTATATGCATTTTGGGATATCGCGTAAAAAAAAACCCGCCAGAACTCCAAGATGCACAAAGATTCTAAAAAGCGCTCAAATTAGGAGGGTAATTGTATTATTCGGTAAGAAGACACATATACAAACACATTTACTGAATAAATCCCTCGATGCACAACAAAAGAACTTTCGTCTTTGCGTCAACGGTGGATGTGATTGGATAACTGGACTAATCAGTGGAGCAATTTCATTGGACAGCAAGCATCTCAAATGTTGGCTTGATCATTCTGAAATGCCTATGCTAAAGTCTGTCAACAGAAAAATTTGGTATAATGACCCTCCCAGAAGTGCCTCATGATTGCGTTCCCAAACACCAGGCATCCGAATGCAAGATAACATGGCAGTGTTTAGCCCCGTTCACACTACAAGTGACTTTGTCGCTGCAGGTCGCCAGAGGCTGCGCTGGAGGGCGTTCCCACTACTGGTTGCCTAGTAATGTTTGTGAGTGACATTCTCGGATGTAAGACAACAAATACGTTTTCTACAAACATTTTGGAAGGAAAAGTTAATGGTATTGTGTCGCTTGTAGTGTGAACGGGGATTTTATTGCATTTCATCTTCACGCTCTGAGACCAAACTCATTTATGATGTACAATACTTCTGACAAAGGAGATCAGAGTGGCTATAAGAGAAACTTCTAACCCCAGTTTTCAGCCAACAAACCTACATCAGGCTTGAAAGACATCACAAAATACAAGACACCATCCCTGAGCACTGTTGAATCACCAACTCGTTGATGACCTAAATTAGTTTTGTTGCAAGTTTGAAAAACCCAGTCTTATACACCCCACACCTGTTCTGACCTTCTCTCCATGGATTCATCAACACCTTCAGCAACCCCTCCCCCTCCGTTCTGCACTTACGATCTATGAAGAGGATGTATGTCGAGTCTTCCAGAAACATTTCACCAGCATGAAGTCATTTAAAGGACTGGTGCTGGCCCACCTGAAGGACATCCCTGGAACCTAGCTGGACCCCCTGCAGTTTGCTTTTTGGACAAACAGGTCTATCTGTGGATGATGCAGTCAACATGGCACTCTACTACATCCCACAGAGTAGGGACTTTTTATTTGAAGATCCTTCGGATTGGCTTTCAACACCATCAATCCAACACAGTCATAGTCTGTGCTCTGCACTTCTGTAACTGTCTGGTTCGTCTCGGCTACCAAATCAGACCTCAGAAGACTACAGCTGATAGTCCGAACTGCTAGGAGGATCATCTGTCTACCCCTCCTTACTATTCAAAGAACTGTACTCATCCATCCTTGAACTTGAACTTGCTGGCAAAATCACTCTTGACCCCTCACATCCACCCCTCACACCCATTTCCTCTTTGCACTGTTGCCGTCTTTTTGGTGCTACAGAGGCCATTTAGCTCATGGGCAGTTAAATGCAATAAATAATGGGCAATAAACATGTGCAATACACATAGTCATACTTAAATTTAATTAGAATACAATACCTCGTATTCATATTCCCCTGCATTTGTATAACACCTGTACATTCTGTAGATAGAAGATTCAAAATAAATTCCTTGAATGAGTTAGCAATAAAGCTCATTCTGATTCAGTTGGACAAAAGAGCCATAGTGGGTTCCCCACGATTGCAGCAACTATCATTTTTAGCACAAATAATTTGCAGCAATTTTCCAGGAAGTGACGCTTTTGTTCTCACTGCTAGCCTGTAGCCTAACATAAAGCCTGTTTAATGTTCTGGAAGTAAAAATTTCTTGTTTTCTTTTTCTTGTCCCCAACAGATTATAAAAGATGTGCACGATTGCTAACAAGGCTAGCTATGAGTCCCCTTTGCACACAATCATAGAAACTGCATGTAAGTACAACGTATTTAGCTGTTTGTGGAATGTTCTTCTTTTTTTGAGGAATGCATATGGTTCCAAGAACTGAAATCTGTTAAATTTCTTCAATCTATATAGCTTTGACATTATCATGCATTTTAAAAACATTTATGTAAAAGTAATATAATATATAATAGCATTATGAAAATTTCATAATTATATCCATGCATATAACATATATAAGACAACTGCAACGTGATAGTCAAGCCTGCTCCCAGTTTCTGTTGGGAACGTCTCGCATGCTTCTTTAACTGAAACTTTAGAAGAAATATTGAGTAAGATGTAATGTCAGTTTAATCATGGCCATCTGGTGCTTTGTAACAAGCATTTTCTAGTCGAACCAACCACTTTGTGAACCAACGCATACACAAAGTCTCAAGAGTCTACTCTCTAAAAAATGCTGGGTTGTTTTAACCCAATTTTGGGTAAAATATGGACAAACTCAAACATTGGGTTAAAAATGTAATTTAAAAATGTAAACCAATGGCTGGGTTTGTCCATATTTGACCCAAAATTAGGTTAAAACAGTAGAGTGATCTTCTGGCAATTAAGTAATGACTTAAAGAAACTGATTTGCTCTGTATTGATAAAAAGCTGTGCACTTAGATCTAGCAGATGTTTTCTGTCTTGTGTTCCAATTGCTTAATGCATTTTTTCCTGGTAGATTGTACCATTTAATAATTGTATATTAGATTGTATAATAAAACGATGAAATCACAATCTTGACAGTCAGTCAGAGCTCGTGTGTAAAAGAGTCAAACATTATTCATTTAATTCTTAGAAACACATTCAAAATAGTTCAAGACCAAGCTGTGACGCTAGAATCAGTCTGTCCTGCGACATCATCGGCAGCATGACAGCTGTGGAATGAGACTTTTAAAGAACCTGTTAGTGAAAGGTGAAAGAATCCATTACCAGTCTGAATGTCAAATGATGTGGCTGGTGAATTACGGTGTTTTATTAGGTTATGATTACTCTTGCTCAGACTGGTTTTCCTTTAAATCAATTAGAAACGGTTAAATTGTCTTTTATGATGTGAATAAGTGATGTCCATTCAAGTGGAGAGTAATGCATTCAAGTCTGAAGTTCATTGTTTCTGTGTATGACAGGTTGAGTTGCTGGAACTTAGTTTCGTGTGCTGTCTTCTTCATACAGCTTTCTAACTGTGACTGTATTTTAAAAGTATTGATTTAAATCAAAAGTAAGCTTATTTGACACATAATTCTTTATGTGCCACAGGTCCTGAGGATATAAAAGAAGAAACTCCAGAGATGTTGGAGTAAATATTTTTTCCAAGGAAGTGCCTTCAAATCATTGCAATTAACTGTCGTTGTTTTTATTTTCTGTCATTTCCATTTCCACAATATAATTAATAATAATAATAATAATAAAATATTTTTTTGCTTTTTACCATAATTTATGTTTGTTAAATGCTTTAAAAATTTAGTTTTTTTAACAGCTTTGCTTTTTATATTATGAGTTTTAAGGAAAGTATTATTTATCATCGCAGCCAATTATTTATTTAAATGACCTGTAAATATTCTGTCCTAATTGCAAGAGGAAATTTGAATATGTATCTCATTAAGCCATTATTACTCTTAAATATATGTGTCCCAAATGTATTGTTTCTAATGCAAATCTAAAAATATTTCATCCATTACACTTATAAAAAAATATTCGTGTAGGCGTATATGAAAGTTTCTTACCATGCTGTCATTTTCATGATATCTACCATTGGCACTTATAGAAATTCAAATTATGAATTATTTCAAAATATGAAAACACATTGTTTGTTTGATAACAATGGTAAAATTGCACTGATGCTTTGAACGAATTAAAACATTCAAGCACTACCATTGTTTTTCTTGTTTGTTTGTTTTTTCCTTTTTATGAATTAAAATGATCTCATTATATATTTCTCTAAAGCATTCCCATGGCAGATAAAAAATTATGTGTGAGCATGAAAAGATGTTTTTGGTCTCTTTTAGCTGCTATTGGTGAATATTCCCGAAATTGAGCAGATTTCATAATAGCTGACAATCCATTTATTCTGTTTCATAAATCTGTCACAATATTCCAACAACAGTGAGGCAAGTCTGTCTTGTTTGACTCAATTGCTCACATTTTAATCTATACATTTTATATTAATATGCTGCCAAGCATTTTGATTGCACTCCCCCTTTTCAGAAAAAGATAGGGAGTTATAGTTCTGAAATAGTTTAGCAAAACTATTTCAAAAGCTGCTTGTCTTTATTTTGCCTTGGATTAAAGGAGCATATATGTTTGTTTTCAGCAGCTATGCAGATAAAACATCTCTGAAGTGTGTGTGTGTTAGCAGTAGAGTATAGATTACACATAAAAAAAACCCTCCAAAACCAGAGTGGACTTAGCTTTAAATGAGCAAATAAACAAAGACTATTCTCTCTTGGAGATCCTGTTTTTGTATTAGGGATGACAAACATTTTGACATCCTCTTCTGTGGGTTTTGCTAAAACGATGCAAATTAGATTCTTTTGAGATCAACTAAAACTGTGGCTTTATCTCTATCTCCATCGTAATCAAATATTTACCTCATCTGATCTGAATGGTTATTAACACAAACATGAAATGTGGCCCTGAGCGGAGTTTAATTGTTGTTTAGAGTGTGACATAAACATACTGAAGCATCCATTTGAAAGCTACCCCAGAACTCACAGTGCTACAAGTTCTCACGCCAGAATGTCTCTGAAAACTTAATTAGTAAATGTCTCACAGAATCTTGCTTATCAGACATATTTTTCTTTGATGCACGTCTCTAGTCTGTTTAACAAGGGTCATATCATGCACCATATCATTTCTGTTCCCCAAGGTCCACTTATATATTTTCCACTCTTTCTCTGATTCTTAGAATTACATAAATGGGTAAAAAGAGTAACAGTGTTCAATGAGTATCAGTAGAAGTTTACAGCTTGGTGATAATACATTGTCATTTTCACAACAGATTGAGTTATGAATGTTTTTAAATTGCAATCAAAAGATCAATAATTGTTTGATTCTTCATGATATGACCCCTTTTAAATTTTCTCGATAAACCAAAAATTGCCTGACGCCATTGGCTTTCTGTAAAGAAGAGGCGATTCTCGCTCCAGTGCTCTACAGTGAAACTCTGGGAAATAATAATATCAGGAAATAATGTTTCTTCACCATTCATCACTGTTATCTCATGTGACATGATTCAAGTGGTTTTTAGAGCCTTCTATGAAATAGGCTAGCTGTTGGCTTTACTGGTCCAGGGGAACATAAATCCTCAGACATTTAACTCTCAATGTCTGGCAACAAACAATTCACTGAAAATATATCTGCACCCCTCGCTCATTGATGGCTTGCATCTTAATTAAGACTCTGTCTGAAAGCATCAATGCATCACTTCAGAATGAGATGATTATGGAGTCAAAATGACAGGTATCTTGGGCTTTCACAAACAGTCTAATCAGATTCCAGCGCTATAAATAAGGTGGGGTCCATCGGGCCACCGCAGAGCCTTCTTCTCATCAGGTGGGCATAAACAATCTACCGTGATCGAAACGGGATATCACTTATCACAGAGACAAACAGCAGAGATTAAGGGACTAGACAGAAGATGCACAGGGGAGGATATGTGGGAGGGTGCTAACACAATTAAACCCAAACACACAATCCTCCGGTTACCGGCAAGCTGCCCAATGCCCGGAGATAAGTCTAACAAAGGCAGGTCATTCCCTTATTCAAGAGTTCTACATCATTGAACCGAAGAGCCCCGGCTCCATTCATGAAGTGATGGATTGGAGAGACTTTGTCCAATAGTTTCCCTGGTTATGATTCTCATGACCGCATCCTCAGTGACTCACCAGAGAGATGATGTGGATGTGTCTATTAAAAGCAAGACCCAGACCTACTGACTTCAAAGATTCATTTTTGTGTTAAGTAAATCTATTCTTCTAAATCGCACATGGCATTAATTGTGTGATTCAAGCACCGACTAAAATATTTTTTTTTATTTATTATATTCAAAATATGGCAGTTCTGCACAAGTGCATTTACCTATGCAAAGGGTAGCATGTTCAGTATGTGCACTAAGCAGTTTCCACAAATAGACAATGAATGTGCGGACTAAAATTGGCCTTTTAAAATGAAATAGGCAACTTTTATTATATATTTTTTCAACAAATGATAAGTGAAAAATTTATCTTCAAAAAAAATGTTTATTGTCAAGTTCAGGAAGTCAAGCTAAAACGTTAGCTGTATAAGGCTACTACTTTCTGTGTTATAAAGATTATCCAACCGCAAGAAAAGAAGCGTGAAGCCTTTTTTAGTAACTTTACCGGTATTTTGTGTTTGAATTTCCGTTTTCAGGTAATGTTAGCTCTGTAGCCTATCGAAGAGTAGGCCTAATAAGCTGGAGATTGTAGAGTTAACTAAGTCATCACGAGAAGTGTGAAGCGGATTTTATAACAGATTTCTGTAGACCGGGGAGGTTTTAAAACGAGATACATTCATAAATCCGTAAGATCTTACCTTTATGCTGTGGAATTAAAAATGGAAGACACCAACCAACGATCGCACCGAAGAAAAGGGGTGGGGCTAAAATTTATATCAAGCTGAATTTATACAATGAAATTTTTGCTAGTTTGATAGCAAATGTTTTTTTACAATAACAAGGCTGGTTGAGCTTGATGAATGCCATCCACCCTTTTTCTTTTTCCCCCCCCACAAATTCGTACTTTTATTCAGCAAGGATGCATTGAATTGATCAAAAGTGACATTAGACTTTTGCATTGTTACAAAAAAATCTATATCAAATAAATGCTGTTTCTATTGTTCTATAAAAATTGTATCTGGGTTTTTTAAGAAGCACAACAAATTACTATTAAATTTATTAAATTACTAATAAAATTATATTACTGTTTACTGTATTTTTGGTGAGCCTTGGTAAATACTAGCATGGGTTATGAAAAAAAACACATATTTCTCAGCTCAAAGACTGAAAAAAACCCAACCTGAACTGTTGTGGTCTAACAACTATTGCATTCTCAATAATAATAATAATAATAATAATAATAATAAGAGAACTAGTCTGGCAACAAAAAAAAAAAGATTCTTCAGGAAAAAGGATGATGAAAGGATGCTTGTACTAAAATGAAACATGACAAACCATCATTTTGCCTCTGAGGCAACACTCTGCAAAGTAAACATTTTAATCCCATTAGACGATCCTGAGGGGCCTTGTCCGGTTATTTATAGCTATATTCCATATTCTCTTTAAACCCACACATCTCTTTCTGAAAGACCCTTGATCTATTTTGTGCGATCTAACGATTTATGGTTCATACGTCAACTGAGGGGGGCAGGGGTAAGCTTTGTCTTTGCCAGTTTATGACTAACACCAACCAACTTAAGAAAAAATACACAACATGAATATGAACTGACATGCAAACCAATACCACCCAGACAAACACTTTGACATGTGAAGTGGAAGATCATACAGACAGTTTATATCTTAATTAATTCAGGACTTACTCAACTCGGGTTGCCATTCTATGGCATTAGCATTTCAACTCTTTTTGATGTTCAATAAGAGCCTCGGGTTTTATTGGCCCCAAAATGCATCCACGTGACTATAGCAAAAAAATGATTTTCTCCTCGAGACATGAGTTATTTATCAGGTTTCCAGATTTTCTTGTCCTCCTTCCTGGCACGTCACACGGGAATCTTTCACCACCTCCACTCATTTTGTGCGCCTGTTGGCTTGTGATACACTGGCGTGAATGAAATGAGACAGGTGATGTCAGTAGCCTATTCTTCATATAGGAAGACTTTATGGCAACTGAGGAGGCACATTTGGGAGCAAACTCTTAATACTAAATAATACATATGCCTTCTAAAACACTACATTTAAATAACAATTTGATGAAAAAATTGATAAAAACAGAACCCATAAAAATGAGTCCGCCACTGACAGGAAGCAACGTCAGAGCAGCACAACAACTAACTAGATTCTTTTCCGTATCTAAATGATGTCTATTGAGAAATATATCCCTATGCTGGGTTAATGACCGATACTTTCTGTATTTATGACATCACCGTGTGTGGGTGGAAATTGTTCCATTATCGGGGCCCTAAAAATAAAACACCAGATGGCCCTATAAAATGATTGGGAGCTTCGGATGAGAGACTCGTGTATGATAACATCAGGACCGTTGTCTGAGATGTTAGTAGGCCATGTTTCAGTTGAGCACAAAAGTAAAAAAAGAGAGATTTACTGTCATTAATTCACACAAAAATAATATTAAATAGTACAAAACACTTTCAAAAGAATGCTTATTTTCAGAAATATTACAATTACCTTTC